TTAAATATTTTACTGACGAAGCTAAAGAATGTGTTCTCTGTGCAGATGAAATGGCCTTAAAATCAAACCTCTATTATATGTTAAACAAAGATGAAATTATAGGGTTTCATCAAACAAATAAGACAAAGACTTATAATCCTGCCAAGTATGCATTTGTTCTAATGGTTAGAGGAATAAATGTTAACTGGAAACAACCAATTGCATACTTTTTAGTATCAAGTAGTTGTACCGGATATGACTTGCAGGATATTATTTTTGAAACTATTCGCAAACTTTTTGGTATAGGATTAAATGTAAAAGCTTTTATTACAGATATGGGTTTTAACTTTGTTAGTTTCAGTAAAAATGTTAATGTTACCCCAGCCAGGCCTTTTTTTAAAGTTGGTGAAAAAAAAATAATATATATATTTGACCCTCCCCATTTATTAAAATCAACAAGAAATATGTTTTTTCAACACAATTTTAAATTTAATAATAACTTAATTGAAAAAAAAAACACTTAATATCATTTTTTGAACAAGACAGTTAATGTAATTTAAGAACAGCCCCAAAATTAACACATTCTCATATTTTTCCTGGACCATTTGAGAAAATGAAAGTTTTTTTGGCTGCGCAAGTGTTTAGTCAAAGTGTAGCAGCCGGCATGGAGACTTACCTTGTTAGTAATAAATTGGAGTCTTCTTCAAAGGCAACAATAGATTTTATTGAAAATATGGACAAACTTTTTGATATCTTCAATTCTTCAAGAAGGCCAACTTCAAAAAATTTCAATAGACCCTTTAAACAAACAAAAGAACAAGAAGACCATTTAAAATATATGCATAATTTTTTTACAAGTTTAATTATTATTAGCAAAAAAGAACAAACTGATGTTACTAACCGGATGAAATTTATTAATGGTTGGTTGATCTCCATAACTGGCTTGCTGTTACTTTGAAAAGACTTAAAATCAACAAGACCATTAAACCAACAAGAAAATTATGTTTTATACACATGCATTAAACCAGGATACTATTGAGAATCTTTTTTGTACAATTAGACAACAAAATGGCAATAACACTAATCCAACTCCTTATCAATTTTTGTTTGCATTTAAAAAAAATTTTTTACTTAATTATTTTCAACACTCAGAAAAAGCAAATTGCATAAATGATTTGGATGCAATTTTGACTCAAATACCCACTGATTCAGACTTAGACATTAGCACCCTATTTGCTGATAAAACACCCTTTCAATTTAAAAAAAACGTGTCCACTTTCTATAGGACATGTTGATTATAGAAATTTAGAAATTCCTGAACAAAATGCATTCATTTATGTTTGTGGATATATTATGAGTAAATGTCTAACCAAACACTCATGTGAAATATGTTTAGAGTATGCAAAAACCCAAAAAAATTTAGATCCTTCATTTTTGTTATGCTTTTTTAAAGCGTATGAAAATGATGAAAAATCAACGTTTGGAAATTTAAATATGCCCCATGAAAATTTTTACAATTATGTTTATAGTTTGGAATCTGAATTTATAAATAGTTTTCCTATTTTGTCTGTTGAAAAAGGAATAGGCGATAAACTTAAAATGAGAATGCTTAATATTGATTATGAACATCCATGTCCCAACTTTGATAAAGATTACTTACTGCATTTTTTTTTGCGTTTTAGAATTTATGCTTCAATTAAATTTTTAAATAGACATTTGGTATCTGAAAAAAAATCAAAAACAGAAAGTTAGCAATTTTGCAGCATTTGTAAAGCAATATTTTGTAATTGTATTAATTTTATAAATATTTAGATGTATAATTGTAATTTAATAAATACCTTTTTTTATTAGAATTTAATATGTGCTAATTATACTAATTGAATTGTATGATACTACAGTCTACAATTGCTCCATTTATGTTTGAATACCTGTAAATAAATTATAAATTAAACATTAATTAGTTATTACTTTTGTAAATTGTATTATAAGTCTTTATATGTGTCTCCATGTTGTAAATAAAACATATTTAAGTTAGGAATAAATTATGTACTGTGTAATTATTTAGATTACCTACCTATAAATACTTATTATAGATTTACTTATATATTACCAAATTAGTATATATATAATTTTTATATTTTAATATGTACTTACCATTGTTTTCCCTAAGCATGGAAAATGTCTAAATATTGAAATAAATATTTTTGTTATGTAAAGTATGATATCATCATCATGTTTACAGTGTACAGTACTCACAAATGTATTGCAGGTAACTTTAAATATTAACTATATTATAAATTAATATGGTCTGTGGTTAATACTAAAAGATTAAAAAAGTTTGAATGTAAATTTAAATTTATAAAGTAAAGTTAAAAATACAGACTATCTGACTATCTGTGTTAAAAGCTTGTGTTAACTAATAAACTAATAAATAATAAAAACTTTTAACTATCATCTTTCACAGTTTCACATGTCATTAAATTACGTCTTACTAATTACAATCGGTACATACAAATATACAATAATATTGTATAACATCTGAACAATAATTTATTTAAACGCATGTAGCTACACTGATTTGGTCGCACCCAATCAGAGGATCTTATTTTTCGGCCGAGTGAGCTATTTGTTTTCATATAGTCTGTGGTATTGCAGTCGACGCACGAATCAATTTAATTTTTTTAAACATCATTAAACTACACTATATTGTATGTTTGAATTTGTATTGCTTAGCAATGTCTTTTGTATGTAATAAACATAATGAGGTATGATTAGATATTTTGCCACCTCAAATAATTTTCATTTTAAAAATATTATGCAAATACTGATTAGTGGTACCTGATTATATATTATTTGCAATGTAAAAAATAAAACTAATAAACAAATAATCCAAGTTCATATTTATTATTGGTATTATTATTATACATTACTACTTACTTATATGAAACCTAAAATTGTAAAAGATTGTGAGTGATAGTATTAAAATCACTTTTAAAAACCAAAAACTATAAGCATGTGCACAACACACATATATACAACATGATACATTTAACTGATGTTATAGGCTACACATATATTCATTTAACTGGTGAAGTGGGGTAACTGTGACGGAATTTTGAATAGTTCAACTTGATCTGTCAATTTCTCCTGAAATAATTAACTTAAAAATATGATGATTATTGCAATGTACTGATATGGAAGTGGTCTATCTAAATACACTGTCAACATTATGTGAAATATCTTAAGAACATTTTTACGATTGAAAAAAAAAAAAAAAAAAATGTCGCACTTGCCCCTTGACAAGGGGTAAGTGCAAAACGGACTGTTTAAAAATACTAATACCACTGTTATTTAAACGTGGGGTAAGTGCCTTAAACTAAAAATGTTTAGCTATAATACTACTTTTACAAAGCTGTATTTGTTCAAATATTTTAGAAATGACCGCTATTGTTATAATTACAAATATATTGTCACATTTTTATCATATCCTACAAACTATGAGCATCTCCTTACTTACATTTCACTTCACTCTCATATAAGAAATTTTAAGATTTATATAGTATTTTGATAAAACAACAATGCAAATATTTTCAAATACTTTATTAAACAATTTATGTTTGTATATACCTATATAAAAAACAAAAAGTTAACAAATGTCATAAGTACTTAGAAATAAATAATAAAAAAATATGAAAAATTTTAGTAATAATTATTTAAATCAAATGCTTTAAGTAACTACTAAATTATTTTCATATATTTTATCAGACTTTAGATTACTTTTTTAGATTATATTCACTAAATGTAATTCCAAATATAAATTCTCATCCTTAAAATATTTTCTCATCCTTTTTTTTATATCAGTTAAAATACATCAAAATATTAGTATAAATCATAATTAATAGATTAAGTATTAATATGATACATAACTGACATTGTATTAGAAAAAAACAATGTTTAGCTCAAGTAACTAAAATAATTAATATTAATTTTTAAAAGGGGCAACTGCGGCATGTCATGTCGCACTTACACATAAATGAATGTCGCATTTACCCCGTTGGTCATTTTACACGGGGGAAGAGCATAATCCGAATTAGCGAATATAATTGTATAATCAAACACGTAAATATCACTAAAAACCTAAGCTACACATAAAATTACACAACTTAGCTTATTTAGAAGCTTCCCAAATAAATTTGAATTGCCAAAAAAAATAATTGATAACAAGTCTACTTTTCAAAACGCGAGTGATATTACAATTGTTGATATCAACTCTGATAGCACGCAAACGAACACGGCCATATAGATAGGTCTGGCAACTCGACGATTTTCGTGTGCCGTTATTGTATACGGGATCGGGGGAATGCTATGTGGCGCTATCTACTTACAAATTAATGACATACTATATAGTATAGAACTCTTTACTATGAATGTAGATAGCGCCACTTAGCATTCCCCTGTGATCGCCTACACACGGCCGTATATTAGGCCGGGCCAGTGTTGCCAAATGGTACGATCCTGGTGGGGAAGTACGATACTTTTACCTTATACAAGATCCCCCATCAGGCTTTAGGATGGGGGATCGTACCAACTAACTACCAACTACCAAAACGGCAAGACACCATGTGTCCAAGTACCAATGCAGTTTTACATAAAAAAAAAAAAAAATTATTTCGATTCTTAAAATAGCGTTGGTATTATTATGTTATTATTATATTATTTATTATTATTATTTATGTTTATACCCAAACCCAACTTTAATAGTTATAATAATATCTAATAATAAATAATAATAACGTCAATAACAGGATTGAACAATATAATATAGTATTTAATATTTATATTTTCATTAAATTGATTTGATTTATTCTGCCAGTCTGCCTAACCACCATAGTGCATATTGTGTTAATCGCGCGTTAATATATACTGTCTTCCTCGCTGTTTTTATTCTAGATAATTAATATAAGTCGTAAATCGTGATCATTATTTCAACGTGACTGTTCTGTCTTATATTTTTTAACAATATGAGTGATTCAGATGATGACCCACGTTTGAGAATTCCAGAAAAAGTTAAGCGATCGAGAAATGAAGGTTCAGTCAAATTCAGTCACAAAAAGCAAAAGTTTCGCAACGAGTGGATACAAAAAAACGAATTTAAAAATTGGTTGATCCCAGTACAAAATGACAATTACAAAGGTAAATGTAAATTATGCAATACTGAAATGACAGCTGAATTAACAGTAATAAAAAAACATATGACATCTAAAAAACACCAGCTTATAATAAGATCAACTGAAAAATGTGAAAAACCATTACCTTGTTATTTTAATGACAATTCAAAAAAAAAACTTATTGAAGACACTAAGAAAGCCGAAATATTACTAAGCGGTTTCATTTCTGAGCATAATTTGTCTTTTAACATTATGGATCATTTAACTGCCCTTTGCAAAGAAATTTTCGTCGACTCTAAAATTGCCTCCAATTTAAGCATGGGTCGTACTAAAACAGCTGCAATAGTAAAAAATGTCATTGGAAAATGTCATCACGAAGAACTTACAGAAAAATTGAAAACTTACAAATTTAGTGTAATCATAGATGAAAGTACAGATATTGGTACGATAAAAAGTCTATGCATTTGTGTAAAATACTTTGACTCAAATTTAAATAAACTTGAAACAAAATTTTGGAAATTAATACAGCTATTCAAAGACTCCGACAGTGCTAATATTGGTGCTACAGCGGAAACAATATTTAATGAACTAACAGCATCATTTGTTGTTGACAATGTACCACTTGAGAATATTACAGGTATAGTATTTTTTTTAACAACCATAAATAATATAATATTTACAATTACTATTGTATGCTATCTACATTAATAAAGACTTTATTAATATAATACAATATACATATATACATATATACATACATACATGTATGCGTTACTATCCATTATAAATTATAATCACTATAATTGCAGTAGTTAGGTGGTTAATACAATTATGCTAAAATTTAAATATTGGATTTAGGATTTGCTGCAGATGGCTGTAGTTCTATGATGGGACAATGGAACTCTGTTTCAAGTAGATTCAAAGAGTTGTACCCAGGTAAGATTTTTGATTTTTAGATTGGAGAATTTTTGTTTATAAATTTTTGTACTTGATTGTTCTAGGAATATTTATCCAAAAGTGCATATGCCACAGCTTACACTTGTGCGCTAGTTCTGCCTGTAAAGCACTACCGAGGCAATGTGAAGACCTCTGTCGTGATATCTACAACTACTTCAAGTCTAGCTGCAAACGAGTGTCTCAATTTCGAGAGTTTCAAGAATTTTGTGAATTTGAACCACATAAGATACTTAAACCATCACAAACACGGTGGTTGTCATTGGCAATGGTAGTCAATAGGATACTGGAACAATGGCAAGCGTTAAAACTTTTTTTTACCTCTCATTGGCTAAATGATAGATTAAAGGCAGCTGAACATATTTATAAAGCTTTACACGATCCATCTATGTTAATATACTACACATTTTTAAATTATTTTCTTCCGAAATTCACAATTCTAAATAAGATTTTTCAAAGTGATAAGCCTGTTTTAGATACACTTCATGGTAGAATATCAGACTTATATAAAGAATTACTATATTCATATTATAGACAAGTGCTTGATCCCTTTGATGTAGATCCCAACAATACTTCTTTTTTCAAGCCATTGCAAGATATTTATTTAGGCGCCGGTGTATATATTTTATTACAGAAGCCAGAGATTTCTACCAATAATGATATGGTTTTGGACACGTTGAATCGCTGTAGATCGTTTATAATAACCGCATGTGTTGAAATAAAAAAAAGATATAATTTCAATGACATCATTTTAAAATCTTTGCCACAGATTTCGCCAAAAAATATATTGGGAAATGTTCATGAAAATTCTTTATTGCCCTTCATTACTTTATTTCCAAGAATTGTAAATGAAACCAATCAGATACAACTCATTGATGATGAATGGAGGAAACTCATTAGCTACACATTTGAATCAAATATTTTGGACATTATTAAAACTAAAGATGTGGATAATTTTTGGATTTACTTGAAATCACATGAACAATTATTTACTAATTTATCTGAATTTATTTTAACTATATTATCTTTACCACAGTCTAATTGTGCCTGTGAGCGTTTATTTTCCAAAGTTAATTTGATCAAAAAAAAACTACGCAACAAGTTAATGACTGATACCTTAAATGGGATTATTAATTCTAGCGAGTGTATAAAACCATATTCATGTTATAAGTTTAAACCATCCAAAGAAATGCTCAACTCAATGACATCAAATATGTACGATTTTATAAATAATACCATTGATGATGATGACATAACTTTTGAGACTGAATAGTATAAATCTAGATCTTATCTTTTTTTTTATTTGTTATTTTGTTCATTAAGTTTATTTAATATATTATAAAGGTACCTACCTATATAATAAAATTATTTATTATTATTAATATTCATGTTATAAATAACAGAAAAATAAATCAAAAAATTGTTAAACATATTAGGTATCTAATGTTTAAAAAAAATTTTTATTTATTATGTCAACTGTGAAGAAACCTGACTATTATAAGTTTTTTTTTATTTGTTATTTTGTTCATTAAGTTGTACCTATTTAATATATAATAAAGGTATATATAATAAAGGTATATTATAATAAAATTATTTTAATTTGAAGATATTGGATTGTTATTTTTTATCAATTATCATACTTGAACGTTACTTCAACGTTATACTTGAGCCAGAACCACACATTAATAGTTATATGAAAATATTTCCGTTTAATAATCCGCTTCGGTGCAAATTTTCGTTAATTGCTGTAAGTCTATCGATAATCGATATGTGTATGGTACATTCATAGATAATAAAGATATTTATTATCTATGGGTACATTGATAATAATTAAGATGATTGTATTATCTAAACGAGAACCGAGCGTAGCGAGGTTCGAGAATTTTTTTTTTGATGGTACGATAATATTATTGGAAAATCGATAATTCTGACCAACGCTTACGATAATCCCACTTTTAAAATTTGGCAACACTGGGCCGGGCGCACATTGAGACGCAGGCGACGCAGCGCAGCGTAGGTTAGCGCAGCACAGGAAAAACTGCGCTACCAAAGTGAGCGCATATTACTACGCAGTTCTGACGTTTCACCGTTCATTGTGACAGTTGTTGTTCACCGTGAGCATGAGCGATAGTATGATGGCCGAAAATTTAATAAATTTAAGTTCTGAATCAGATTCCGATGACGAATTTGATGAACTTATTTTGTTGTATTCGTTAAGTAAAGAAAAAAAAACGTGGAAAAGTAATTTTATGAAAAAAAGACAAAGTCACGGTGAGTTCAATTTGTCATCGGAATTTTCTGACAAACAATTTTTAAACTACTTTCGCTTGGACCGAAATCAATTTAATGAAGTTCTTAATTTAATACGAGATACAATTTATTCATTTGGATGTAATGCTCAAAAGCCGATTGATCCCGAAGAAAAACTGGCAGTCTTTTTAAGGTAAGTTTTTTAACAATAAAATAATAATAAAGAATAATTATATTATTATTATACAATAAGGCCTAAGCATTGAAATGTTGTACATTTTATTTTAACAACAAAGTTAAGAACACCAAATAAAAACAAGATCCTTTAGTTAATGATTTTATGTTATATTAATATGGTAAATCATATTTATTAAACTTCTAAAGTAAATTAAAAAAACTATTCTGTATAAGTCAATACTTAATATTAGAAATAAAGTAAGAAATAATATTAGATAACTAGAAATAATAACTTGCTATAATGTAATTTTAAAACATTATTCTTTATAAGTATTGATATAATGAACAATACCATCTTGCCCATCTTGGTTCTCAACATTTTCAGAAACTGAACTTTCGCGAGAAGTAGATGAATATTCTCCGTATGACCACGTAGAAGAAGACTGAGGTTGACTGTAGATATTTTGTTGTATCTGTTGTGACTGAGGTTCTGGAAAAGCATTGTTTTGTTGGAAATTCAAAAGATCATACTCTACTTGCGAAACAACTTCAAATAATTTATTTTTTATAATAAGTTGAGATGCCGGTGGCATTTTATAAGTCGTTTGGTACATGGACATAAAGAAATGGTAGAGCGGATCATTTGGAGTTTTGATTTCTACCAATTTTTGACGTTCAATTGATCTTTCTTTGGCTCGTTTTTCACGGTTCGCTATGGACTGTTGAATTAGGTTGCCTATATCATTTTTTTTCAATTTTTTTGGTGGTTCTTTAAAAGTAAATTGCATTCCAGATGACGAAGGAGTATCTATTAATTTTTCAACAGAATCATCTAGTTCCTTGTTGCTGTGCACTTCATTATCTCCTCCCAGTACAAAATTATTCTCCAAGATTGGTGTCTGCAGTGTCTCTATAATTTGACTATCCTCAGTGTCTGCATTGTCAGATCGGTCATCATCACTGTCAACTATATTGGCACTACGTTTTCGGTTTTCCATGTATGGCAACAAAAACTCCATTTGTTTCTGGAATTTCCACTGTCTTACTGTCTCGGCTGCAGCTCCACTTTTAAACATTTTTTTTTGCCTCCGTAGAGCATCTCTATGACAGTTCCTCAATTTATTCCACATTGTTTTCACTGTTTCACCTGGCACAATTTTAATATTTTTTAAATATTTTTTTTCATAAGCATTTAAAGTTTGAATTTTGACAAAATGTATCAAAATCTCGAAAATGATCAATCATTGTAATTAAAAAATTAAAAAATTTTTAGTTTTAATTTTTAAAGGTTGAAAATTTAAAACAAAGATTCTTATAAATAGTTCATATTGTTACCAAAAAATCTAAAAATATATAAACACAGTTTTTTTTACAGCATTTTATTAAAAAAACTGTTTTCCCGGTTGGTTATAGGTATTTAGCTTCAGGAGATAGTTACAAAAGTATCGCATACAGGGTGATTTTTTTATCGAAGAACACTCATTATTTCAAAAAGTATTAATGTTTAAGAAAATATTTTTTACATAGTTTCAAGTTGTTAAAAAACAATATTTTTATTAAAAAATTATATTTTAAATATTTTTTATCCTTTTAATTTTTTAAGTTTTTTACTTTTTTGAATGACAACATCTAATTTTAATTTGATATTCAAAAACAGAATATTTTTCTGAGTATTTCGATACATAAAAATTGAATTTAGGGCAATTAGTTTATGAGTTATAAGTATTTAAAGTTTAGATGAGCGGAGTAGAGTGGTACGGGGTTACCCCGCGAAATGTTTGTCCTCTACTCCGCTCATCTAAACTTTAAATACTTATAACTCATAAACTAATTGCCCTAAATTCAATTTTTATGTATCGAAATACTCAGAAAAATATTCTGTTTTTGAATATCAAATTAAAATTAGATGTTGTCATTCAAAAAAGTAAAAAACTTAAAAAATTAAAAGGATAAAAAATATTTAAAAATATAATTTTTTAATAAAAATATTGTTTTTTAACAACTTGAAACTATGTAAAAAAATATTTTCTTAAACATTAATACTTTTTGAAATAATGAGTGTTCTTCGATAAAAAAATCACCCTGTATAGTTATAGAATGGGGGATCGAACTGTCTCAAAGATTATAAATGAAGTGGCCACTGCTATATGGAACAACATGCAACCAATATATTTACCAGAACCCACAATGGAAATGTGGAAATTGATCGCGAATGAATTTGAACAGATAGGGCAGTTTCCACACTGCATTGGCGCTCTAGATGGCAAACACATTGTGATTAAAAAACCACCCAAAAGCGGAACTTCATTTTATAATTATAAACAAACATTTTCCGTGGTTTTAATGGCAATAGTTGACGCTCACTACAAATTTATTAGTATTGATATAGGCTCTATGGGAAGATTCAGTGATGCCAATATATTTTCGAGTGGTGCGTTAGCAAAAAAACTTAATAAACAAACTTTAAGACTTCCTCCACCAGCAGCTTTAACCGACTATGATCAAATACTACCCTATGCTTTTGTAGCAGATGAAGCGTTTCCACTATCCGAAAATATTATGCGACCTTATCCAAATAGAAGTGTTACAAACAATTTTAAAAATAAAGTGTTTAATTATAGACTTTCTCGAGCACGGCAAACTGTTGAATGCACTTTTGGAATCTTAGCATCACGATTCCGAGTGTTTAGAAGTCCTTTTGAAACTAAAATTGAAAGTGTTGATAATGTTGTAAAAGCAGCTTGTGTATTACACAATTATTTAAGAAATGAAACAATAATTTTAAATAATATGCAAGGTGATAGTAGTGAAAATGAAATGCCTGAAAATCAATTACTGCCATTAACCAACAACAACACTAGAAGTGGATCAAATGCTTTTTGTGTAAGACAAAAGTTCACAGATTATTTTAACACGGTGGGAAGCGTACCATGGCAATCGGATAGTGTTTCTAGAGGTAAATACTAAGTACTAACTACTTTTATTTGTATAAAATGTTGATATAATATACACTTTATAAAAACTATTTTATTTATTTGTCATTTTTTTATTGTTTTGTTATAATGTTTTACTAGGTATAAATCAATTTTCCACAATATTATAAACTTTAAATTTGTATGAAAAATAAATACGTAAATCTTTACTTGTTATTAAGTTTATTATTATTACCTTATATATTATTATAATTTGGTATTCACAAATCAGTTGTAAAATAAATTAAAATCATCATTCATAATCAAAGATAAGAAATTTAGTATAGTAAAGTTATACAGAAATTTGTGACAAATATCGTTGACGTATAATGTATATTATGTATAATATAGGACATAATTATAATTAAACCAAGATAATGTTTAAAATAGCCAATGTTATTCTCCAATGTTTAAAATTAGATAAAATCAAATAACATAAGTGAGTTATCGTAAAATATCTTATCTGTATTTGGTAAGTTTGTCGATAATCCAGATTTCATTTCAATAGTACGCCGAACACTTTTGATCTTCAAATTCTTACTTACTCATACTTAATTATTACAATTGTTCATAAAACGAGAAAGAGAAATATTCATATCTATATTACAATTTATACGTTGTACATCATAACATGTTACATGCATGAAAAATACCTACGTGTTTTCATGAAACATTGATATAATTGATATAAAAATTAAATTAAGCCCCGAGCCCAACTGATTAATATAATATCAGTAAATTTGTTTTATTTTAGTTATATTAGCAATGAAAGAATATTAATTATAATAGTACCTAATATTAATATTATTTTAGGTAATATAAATGAATTGAATACTAGGTACTTACCATTATTTAATTTAAGTTCAGTGGCAATCTTTTCCCATATTTCATTTTTCAACTTGCCCTTCATATAGTCGGCATGACTAGTGTCATATAAGACATTGTAATGTCTGACGGCTTCAATTAAAGTCTCTTCCATCGTAATTTTTAAAAAACTTGACTTATTTTACAAGTTTAATTAGTTTAGTTTCAAATTATAGTAATATCGTAATTCACAAAGCTCGTGCACGTGTGCAGTAATCTGTGTCGCGAGGACTACGTGACACAGGCCAACATAGACACAGCACTGCTCTGCCCTGTCCTGCCTCCCAATATGCGCTAGTAAGTTCTAGCTAATAGATTACAGAAAACTACGCTGCGCTGACCTACGCTGCGCTGCGTCGCCTGCGTCTCAATGTGCGCCCGGCCTTAATAGTACCTGGTACCATTATACATATGATATTATTATTATAATAATATAATACCTATTGTATTTCATTTTTATAAAACTTCATTAATTGTATGTTGCCTGTGTTACCTACTGAAATTGAATTAGACGTCTGGAAAGTGGAGAATAAAAAGACAAATGACAAAGTATTATATTATTAATTATGCATAATAAATAGTAACAAGTAATATCTTTAATATAGGTATAGTTGTTTAACACTTTAACAACAATGTATAAATATTAACATATAACCTTAAAACCTTTATGTCGTACAGAATTTTGATAGTTTTTTTCTTTTTTGATTTTCTTTTTGATTATTTTGATTTAGCTGCTTAGTAAATTGGCGCATACGCATATTGATATAGTACCTTATGGAGTAAGTAATTATTTCGTCTTTGTGTTGACGACAAGGGAAACCTAAACATTCATTAGTCAATATATCTTCAACTACTTCTTTTTTTCTTCTTCTTTTTTCATTGTTTTCTCTACATATTGAGCATACTCTAGGCATTGTGAATTTATTATGTTCAACAACTAGAAAGTAGTAGAAACTAAAGACTAGTACTAGTATATCTGTATATTATCAATTAATTTTACCATAAATTAGATAGGTACACAAATAATTTTTAATATTTATATTTAATAATTTTAGATAGGTATATATTATTATATGCCCATAATATCTCCTATAATAGCTTGTATATGATTGTTTCGCCATCTATACCATCAAAATAGTAAATTTGTAATACTTAAAATGCTATACTATGAATGTAGATAGCGCCACATAGCATTCCCCCGATATGCCGTATACAATAACGGCACACTCCGACCACGTACAAACACTGTCGAGTTGCCAGACCTATCTATATGGCCGTGCAAACGAATAAACGTACAGTGTTGCAAATTAGATATTTAAGCTCCCACTATATTGTAGATTAATTTTCATTATTGATATGAGTGATAGAATTTATTTTTCCCACCATAATAATGGAAAACGCACTTACCCCAGTTAGGCACTTACCCCACTTCACCTTACTTATGAACAGTAATAATGTTATGATAGGTACGCCACACCTACAGGTGTCTATATAAGTAATTTAGAGTATTTAATTACTTTATGGAACGTTTTAATTTCATTTGGTATGCACAGGTCGTTCGCAACCAGACACCTATATACCTGGGAAGTATGGTTGCCTTTAAATCGACTACTTAACCTTTTTATTCAATTGAAATTTGGCTTTAACATTTTCTCCTACAATAATACGATATCAGACTATCGACGTTAGGAGGTATGCCCAGTAAACGCACAAATTTGTACCGGTTGAGGACTGAAAGCTAGACACACAATTACCGTTTTCGTTATGAATTTATCCTTTTTGCACACACAAAAGAACAGGGCATGCGACGGGACATGTATCCAATCCGCCATACACAGATGCCCTATAACTCATAGATTTGCATACAGCGATGATGATAGCTAGACATTCGATTACAAATATTCGCAATTCCTAATTTCTTATACAGTCAACAAAACACAACCGGGCATGCAGCGGGGCACGGTATTACACCTGGGTGGCTAGTATTGAGATGTGGTAAATATCGACCATTAACGTTACGATACCACATTACATACCACAGTGATAAAATAAATAACACCTTACAGTAGTACCGACTCGGGATATATAAATGTGTTATTTCAGTGGTGCGCGTTATGAAATTATGGTGCGTGTTATGAAATTATGGCGCGCGTTATAAATTGTATACATTTTTCGGTTAATTACTTGATTGAGGTTATACCACGGGTATAGAATACAAGTTACCATCTATATCGTGTTTATAAATATATGATTGTGAAGCCGCGCGCCCGCGCGCGACGTTCCCTTATTTTCTATTTATAAGTTATAAAGTTATAACTGATAGTTGATAAGTGATAACTGATAAAAGTGTATATCAAATCATAAATATTAAATTCATGAAATATAAATACCTATTTCATTATATTTCAACATTCAAGCATAGTCCAAAGACAAGTACAAAATACATCATGGTAAGTAAAAGTATGGTAATATCTAATTAGTATTTAAATTATTGTACATTCAATTTGTTTGATGGGTATTTAGTGTTTGTATTATATTTTTTCCTATTACAATTTGTTTAAAAATCTTACATGTATTAGCATAATATAAAATACTTGTATACTAGGTATGATCATACCCAGTATCCACCTGCCGCCTGGAGCATTCTTTTAGGTGCCCTTACATAAAATATATAAGGGACTTGAAAACTGTTTCATGTCTGTAATAATATAATCAATGAATTTTAAACACATTTTTACTTTATTATATATATTATAAAATAGTACCTACCTAGTATTATCCATATAAGTATGATATTCTTTCAAAACTCATATAGGTGGACATTAACTGCTTAAAAACATTTCAACATACTTATTAATTAATTTTCTAATTATCTAATAACATTAAGAATTAAAGAATTCATAGTAACAACTAACCACTAGGGCTTAACTATTTCCAGTTAATTTGAAAAATGATACGTTAAATGAAAATCATTTTTCTACTTTCTATGTAAGTATTATTTAGTATCTATAACTGCAATTTTGAATAATAAATTAAATTACTATAGCTACTGTGTAATAAAGAAGGATTTAGATACATTTTTGACAAAATATTTATTTATTGTTTAATACCTAGTTATATTAAAAATTAATTAACAAACTTCAGTGCTCTTAGTATAACTATAATTTAAAATTAAGTACCTACTCTAGAAACTTTTTTTTATAAAATAGTGACCAATTAGAGTTCAATTGTAAATGAAAATTTATAAAATGAATGTAGGTACTGCCATACTATTACTATTTTTACCTGTTCAACGTTTACCAACAAAGAAGTACATAACAGTATAAAAAAATGTTTACCTATTTGATTATTAAAATAATTATTTCATTTACATCTCAAACATTATATTATTTATATTTATGTTCAAAAAAGTGATTATAGTAGCTAAAAAAGAGACCAAATGGGTGCACTAAGTCTAACTCATTTTTAACCGACTTAAGTTAATATGTTTTTCCCTATTATCTTTTAGAGTTAAATGCATTGGTTTTAAACACCTTTATTATATACCTAGTCAGATAGCCTATAATGTTCTTAATGTTGACTTAACTATACTATTAACTAATTTCAAATTAACTTCTCATACCTATTATATTGTAGGATAAAAAAAGACAGAAGAAAGTTACTGATGAACAGAAAGTGTTACTAGTCTCACTATTAGAAAACAATCCCCGATTAGTTTCAGGCAAATTTGGTGCTGATTTTAGTTTTGACGACTCTATTAAAAAATGGAAAAGTATAATTTCTGAACTTGAGTCATGTTCAACTGGCCCAAAAGGGAAAAGTGTCGATGACTGGAAACGAGTTAGTACCTAATATTATTTATATTTTACTTAATTTTATATTGTTTTTATTTAATTTTTATATGAATTTAATTTTGTTAAGACATGGTCAGACTTGAAGAGAAACGTTAAAGAAAAGGCTGCAAAAATAAGATCTTCTTATAGAGCTACAGGAGGAGGAGAAGCATCAAAAGAAAAATTATCCGAATTGGAAGAAAGAATAGTAGGTATTATCGGAGAAACTATGATTGAAGGACACAAAAGAGTACATGAATTTGGTTCACCTTGCGTTAAAAAAAAAGTAACTGATGACATACTATTGGCATATGCCTACAAGTATATATATATATAAGTATTCTTAATTGAATTAAATTTAATGTTTAGGTAATAAACATATGCAACCAACAAGCCGAAGTAATGAATCCAGTAATTCAGATAGATAGTGAAGTAATGTCATTATTATTTAAAATTATTTTTTAATTAAAATATTTGTTACCAACAACGTTTATTTTACCTAGGTTTTTATTTTAAATCGTGAAGATGGAATTGAAAAGGATACACCAAATAATTCTCTATATCAACAACCGGTAACCATACAATTATAAGGTAATTGTGTATTTTTATTTTTAATAATTGTTATGATTTATAGGATATAAGTCATTCTAGCCCAAATATTGAAGATATTTGTGAACCTTTGATTAATAATGAACCAGTGCCAGAAAATGTATTAGTTTTTGATTTCCCAGAGGTATAAAATTATTTTAATACATTAATTAAATTATAATCAATTAATATATTATCATAATCTTTCTAGATGAATGAACAAGAAAACATGATAAGAAAAAAATCAAAACAAGTTAAAAGTGAGTATAATTCGGACGGTAGTCCCAAAATATAAATATAAGTATAAATATAAAATATAATTAAAATAATATATACTTAATTAACATTTACTAATGTTTTTTTTTTTAATTTTTAGTTAGTATTTGTGTGTTGATTATTTAATTATTGTTTGAAAAATTAATGTTTTTCAGAGAAAACTGAAATTGATTATCAAATGTATATGGAGCATATGTTGCAAATTGAAACGAGAAAGGCCGTTGCACTAGAGACATTAGTTATAACAGCAACAAATATACTAGAAACACTTAGAAAAGATAAATAGTTTTATATATATATATATTTTTTTTCACATTATATGCATTTATATTAGACATGATATTTTACCTAAATGAAATGAAAAGAAAAGACTTATTAATATTAATTTACGTTTTTAAAACTGTTAAAAGTATTACATTTTTTATTTTGTTATTATAATTATAACATTTTGTATTTTCTTTAAAGTATTATAAAGTATAATTCAGTTAAAATATACTCACTGATTTGTTAAAAAAAAATAATACAATATAACCATATACCTTTTAATAAAAGTATAAGGTCTGCACATTTAACGCAATTGATTTACAATTTGACTTCTAATTTGCTGTCCTAGTCTATGAAAAGAATTACGCCCTCTACCAATTTCCTCATTTACATTCATTGGAATTGGTCTTTCATATTCAATATCAAGTTCTTCATGTAAATCTAAATCAGCCAAATTTGCTTGTTTACACATGTTATGAAGAACACAACATGCGATTGTTATTAATGAGACAAATTGTGGACGATAATGTAACATGCGATGCTTAATTAAACAACGGAAACGTCCCTTCAGCTGCCCATTAACTCTTTCTATGATGGACCTAGTCTTTTTGTGGATTCTATTGTAATTTTCTTCTTTTGAATGTGGTTGAATTTCATTTTCTTGGAAAGGTACCATAAGAAATGGCTCTAATGGATAACCTTTATCTCCTAACAGCCAAGACTTAAAAGTTCCTTCTTCATATTTGTCTTTTAAATAATTCCTTATTTCACTATTTTTCCAAATAAATGAGTCATGTGTGGATCCCGGGAATTTAGAATTTACATTTATTATTCGACATGAGGCATCACAAATCAATTGAACGTTAATAGAATGTTAATTTTTCCGGTTGACATACATATATTCTCTATGAATAGGATCATTAGGTTCTGACTCAATATAAATGTGGGTGCAATCAATGCACCCTACAACACCATGTATATGATATTTTTCATAAAATTGAGCTCTTATTTAAGGAATTTCATCATCAGATGGAAACTGAATCCATTGGTGAGCCAGATTTGTAACAATTGCTTCAGTAACTATGTGTACACAGTTACTAACACTTTTTTGGCATACTGCTAATGTTAAATCTTGTACTACTGACATCTGATAGCTACCTTGAGCATAAAATCTCAAAGCTACAAGAACTCTAACTTCAGGACTCAATGATGACTTTCTATTTTTTATTGGTAAAAAAGGCATTAAATCATTTACTAAATTTCTTACTAATGTTTTAGTTAATCTGAATAATATCACAAATTGATTTTCTGGAAGATCAAATGGATCAATCCTATGTTTTATTGGTTTTTGTATTCTAAAAATGTATACACACTTTAGATTAATTACTAATTTGTAAGACTTTTATTAAACATTTATTATGCTATGTGGGTGGATCCGATATCTTTTATGGAGAATAATGAATCGTTCTTTAAACTTGAGAAAATAATTTCTTCAACGAACTAAGAACGTTTACTAAATTATGTAGGTAGATTATACCCAAAGTTAGTAGGCTATTTATTAGATAGGTAATAGGTAGTACTTGGGTAAATAATTAGATTGATATGATTTATAAACAAATCAGTTTTAAAAAGTTGTTGAGTATATGTATTTAAATACAGATACAAATACATCCATTCAGAAAGTATTTAGAATAATTTTTAAATTAAGTATCTATTTGACAGTCTTGTAAACTATGCTTTTAAAATTTTATTTAAATACAGATACAAATAAGAAACAATTAAGAAAAAGTATTTAAGAACAAATACAAATACTTGGCATGTATTTAAGTACTTTTTTCATTTTACTATTCAAATATATGCCAAGTAAGTGTATTTCTTAAATATGTACTGTTTTTTAATAGATGTATTCGTCACTGTATTTAAATACCTACAATTTCAAAAGTATTTTTTACAAGACTGAAAAAAAATAAGAAAATATGAGAGATTTTATATTGCCTAATTGGAAAAACAATTACGGTTAAGTACCTACCTATTTATATTCAATTGTAATAGTTAATAAATAATAATTAGGTATCTAAAAAACATAACTATACCTAAGTCTCCGATTTACTTGTTGGATATGGATTCCAAGTAGGATGACATCCATTTTTTTGAGTATGCGATGAATGCTTATTAAATTAATTATCATTTAATATTAGTATAATTATTAATCACACTCATAAAATCATAACACTCTCATAATTATTGATAACACGTAGATTTTATATGTGTTAAAATTATGATTAACATATCACATTCATTTGGTGCTATAATTCAGTAACACGGGTCGGTACTTCAAAATTAACAATATCGTGTTATTTAGCAGTATTACACTGTGATTATAACCCTGTGTTATATTAACACATCTCAATACTAGCCACCCTGAGTCGAGGAGAGACCGCTAGACACTCAGTCACAGTTTTCGGATTGCATGCCTCATCGTGTTACCCGACCGTTGCACGTCGTCCGCTATACGACGAACTCGGATTGCCTACCGGGTGACTGACTTCCCAGACACTCAAAAATTGCGGCAGCTATATGACTTAATTTCTTTTTGAATTTCCCGTTTTTTCACTTACATCTAGCATGCGACGTGGGTCATGCATCCAATCCGCCATACACACATGCCCTATAACTCATAGATTTGCATAGAGCGATGATTGATGGCTAGACATTCGATTACAATTATTCGCAATTTATAATTTCTTATACAGTCAACAAAACAGAACCGGGCATACAGCGGGGCACGGTATTACACCAGACGAGCAAAGACCACTCTACACTCCAAGTCGCCGTTTTCGGTACGAATTAATTGCTTTTCGAATTTCCCGTGAAACGATTTTCACTCGACCACCTCGAAGGCGCCGGAGACGGCTTCCACAACGCCCGGAATCGAGGCACAAGGGCAGCTAGTTACATTTATAATATAATTATAATTATTATGTTTATATTTTCCTTATAACGCGGTGCGCGGTCTATTGACAGTTCTAGTGAACTAATTCATAACGTATCATAATATAGGCAAGTTGCCAATATGGTCTCTCTATACTATCTATACTCACTCAATGGTACATGGTTCACAGCTCTTTTGTGGTGTTGTTAAGTGTTGGCTCGCCTTCGGCTTTAATGAGTAATAAATTAGGAAGCCTTAACGGCCGGGAGGATCTGCAACTTATGATGCAGCCGTCCCAAATGCAAAATAATATAATACAATTGTTTTAGTTAGGTATATTGTATATTGGTAGACATATCATACAATTTACAGTACAAGTTTGACCACTTGGTCCAATACAATTATTTTAATTAACTAGGTAGAACAAGACCCGTCGGTCTATTATAATACTATGATGGTACACACATACCCTTGAGGTTATGTCGCCTTGAGGTGCCGGGATCCGTATAAATCAACTTACATACAATAATACAATACAGGGTTGATCCCGCACACGCCCAAGAACGCCGCTAACCTCAACACGACGAACAAATCACAATTCACAATACAGCTGCTACAGCGGACACACGACTTGACAAACCACGAAACTAAAGTCTTCTGCTGGTAATCAATGACCGCCCTATACTAGGGGAAAAACAATTTAATGATTGGCAAATAAATGCGCTAACGATATTTACCAGACAGAAGAAATCACAAAACACACATAACGAAAACGTGGTTCGACAGCTGCAGCAGGAACAAAAAAAGGGACTTAGATGTTTTCACACCAACAAACAAAACGAGAAAGAAACTGAGAAAAAGGTGGCCGATTTTAACGGTAACACACAAACACATTTACATTACAACACGGAATAACAGTGTCACCTGTACAACAAAACAAAAGTATAACAAAAAACAAGAACTTTAGGTGACACACAACTTTTAAACATGAGTTTTTAGAACGGCTTTTTTCAAATTACTGGAAAACAACAAAACATTGATAACGTGGTGGTCTTACACACGCACTGGGCGGTCAGCACACAACAGCTGACGCCACTGTCGACCGCACAGCAGTGACGCGTGATAAGAACCACCACGGAGCACAGGAACATAATACAAAACAAACACAATTTATTTGAATCGCCATATTGGCGCGAACATTAAGAATGAAGTGATCGGTTTCAAATAAGGTCAACACAGTTCTGTATTAATAGCCCTTTATTTAACTATGAATAATATCTTACGACATTAATAAAACGATCGGTGCGAATAGGAGGCATTACCGAACTTGGAAAAAGACAAGTAGGTTCTCTGGCGGTTCCGACTTCCGCGACTCCAGGCGGGATATCGGACACGACATTCTCCTCCTCCCACACGACGCCGTCGGCGTGCCTAATAACCCTCGTCGTCCGTGTCCGGCAGGCGCAAATTGCAACCGTCCTCGTCCGACAACTCGTTCTCGACGACCTGGTCTTCGTCCCGTCTATTTGTGGCTGCCACTGGTGTATTCCCGCAGAATGGTTCGATGGACTGGAGCATGCACTTACTTTGTTGACCGGCATTCGTTGACACCTCGCTGACTAAAATTTACAAAAGCTTAGCACGTGAAAAAATAAATAATAGGACAAACTTACCACAATTCCTTGCTAAGTGACCCACCTGTTGGCACCTGTAACATCCTGAAACGTACAAATCATGTTTAGTGTTATACTTGGCTTATGCAATACGCATGTGCTTTTTTTTATTAGGTACTTACGTCGGGCGTTTCCTCCCGAACGGCGCACGGGCACAGCATTGTGGTACACGGGTGCATTATACACCCGCATACCACGGCCGTTGTAATGGTGGCTAACGGTGTCTTTCGGCATGCTAGATTTAAAAAAAAAAAAATTGTTTTATTCAAATAGGTATGAAATTGTTCGATACATAACCTAAGAAATATTATTTTAATACTATAACCGACGTGTACTCACTTAAAGGATGTTTTGAGAAATGATTGATAAAAACCAAACAACATGCAGCTGGCAATGCATTAGGTGTCTCTTGACGCGGTAAAAATAGCAGCCAATCAGAAAATTAGATTTTGTCGACTTATTTGTTATAACCGCGAAAACATAACAATGATTACATTGATTACAATGAAGCCTAACATAAAACACCTGATAACTGTACTCTATAATTATCAAAAATTACAATTTTGTTACCTCCTGTATGCTTTTTCAGATTTGAACGGCCGTTTTGAGCACTTTTCGCTGTAGGCGGATTGTCCGTTCGGGAATCGACTTTCACCCGAGATGACTGATAGCTAGACACTCAAACTCAGAATCCGAATTTCCGATTTCAACACACACACTCCAGAACCGGACATACACGCCCGGGGCGTCGTCTGCGATCCTCGGATGGCCTACCTGGCTGGCTGTGTCGTACGATCGACTTGAATCGCCTGATTTACGACTAGACACTCTTCCAAGTTAAAAAATTACCGCTTAACCAGTGCTGCCAACACGACAAAACACATTACCCGACGACCCCGCGTTCCCGCCGCAGGCCGGATCAACAAACCCAGCCCGAGGCGAAACGACAAAGATGCACGACCGCCCACACAGTCTTTCCGCCACAGGCGGGATGACAAACGCCAGAATCTAGTCTCTTATATTATAAAACGAGGTTAGTCCCCAGTTTTGTCCGACAGGCGCGACGCAGCA